CATCCATCCATCATCCATCCATCCATCCATCCATCCATCCATCCATCCATCCATCATCCATCCATCATCCATCCATCATCCATCCGTCATCCATCCGTCCATCCATCCGTCATCCATCCATCCATCATCCATCATCCATCCATCATCCATCCATCATCCATCCATCCATCCATCCATCCATCATCCATCCATCATCCATCCATCATCCATCCATCCATCCATCATCCATCCATCATCCATCCATCATCCATCATCCATCCATCATCCATCCATCCATCATCCATCCATCCATCCATCCATCCATCCATCCATCATCCATCCATCCATCCATCATCCATCATCCATCCATCCATCCATCCATCCATCCATCCATCCATCCATCCATCCATCATCCCTCCATCCAGGCTTCGTTAGAATTAGCTGGAATTAGCTGTCCTGAAACACAACCAGCATTCAGGTGATGAACACCAATGGTCTGACATCACCCAGGAATGGTGCTCTCCGTTTTGGGACAGGACATTGAATCTAGTTCAGATTCCAAGGAGATTAAGGTCAGGGGAATCCCGTTCACGCCATTGGCATCTGCCAGGATGTTCCTTGGGCAGCGCCATCCATCTCCACTCAGTCCAAGCTCAGGTGTCAGGCTTTTGGGGTCTCTGAAGCCTGTGGGGTCCATCTGTGCTCTGGTAAAGGGACAGCAGCTTCCCCTGCCCTCAGCTGAACTTCCAGAGCCCACAGACCTCCCCTCTCACCCCACCGCAGCAGAGATGTGCCCAGATTGATAACACAGCTCTTCCCCAGCACCTGTTTGAGCAGGATTTTGGGAAAGCTCTTCCTGCCTCGGGCCAGCCCCTCTGGACTCGTGATTGCCCCGATAAGGGGGTTTGTCGGGCCCTGACAGGATATTGGCTCAGTGTCCACACACGGCACTCAGCCGTGGGAGTCCTGTTCAAACACCGTCTTTTTGTGTCAGACATTTCCAAATTCCGTTCCCACTCCCCCGCCACCCCCTGCCTGGGTTTATACATCAACCAGTGCCTGGAGTCCTTATCACGCCGAAGGGCTCTCCTCACCCTGGAGGGCCATTGTGTGAGTTTTTAAGTCATGACTCCCAGATATTGAGCAGGGCCGGTTTGGCTAGTTCTGGGCAAACAGGCTCTGCACTTGATTGGCATTTAAACACAGCAGGTAAGAGTTCAGGCCTCTCTGATATGTGCTGTGAGCAGCAGCGTGCTCAGCTGGGCAGGACAGGAGCACCATCTCCCCAGGAGAGTCAAACCCAGCACCTGCAAGGGACTCGTACCCCCAAAACACCACAAAAGGCTTTTTGGGGTTTGTTCTGCTCATCCTGCCCTGGCCAGGTGATGCCTCCCACCACCCCAGGCACTCACACAGTCCAGCTTGCTCTTCTTCCACAGGTAGAAGGGGTCAGCCAGCTGCTTGAGGGAGTTTTTCAGGTTCACGGCGATGAGGGCTCCCAGCACAGACTGTGGAGGACAGGTAATGGGGTCAGGATGTGCCACGTTTGGCAGTGGATGCTTTCCTGCAGCCTCTGCCTGCCTTGGGCCAGTCCCATCACAAGGGGGATGCTCACAAAGATCTCACTTGGACCTGAGCAGGGTCTTTTGGGTGATTCTTTCACTAAAATTTAGATTTGCTCAGAGAAATTGTGGCTGTCCCATCCCTACCCAAGGCCAGCTTGGACAGGGCTCAGAGCAACCTGGAATACTGAAAGGTATCAGGGTGAGGTTTGAGGTGAATAGTGGAAGGCAGGGGTGAGGTTTGAGGTCCCTTCCATCCCAAACCAGCCTGGAATTGTGTGATTCTGTGACTGCAGACAGCCTGGAATAGTGAAAGGCATCACAGCCCATGGCAGGGGTTTGAGGTTTGAGGTCACTTCCAACCCAATCCAGCCAGGAATTGTGTGATTCTGTGACTGCAGACAGCCCGTGCAGACAGGTCCCCAGGCCAGGAACAAACCGTCCCGTGCTGCCGTTTGCATCGGGGTTTTTTGGAGCGAGGCTGTGCCCGTGTCTGGGTTTGGAGCGAGGCTGTGCCCGTGTCTGGGTGTGGAGAGCGGGTGTTGCAATGGCTCTGCCTGCACAGATGTTTGTGTTACCTTTGGAAGAGGCTCCAGGTAGATTCCCAGGGACAGCATCGTCACCATGACCACCAGAGCCACAAAGAAACTCGCCACCTGCAAAGAGGAAAGAGAGTCACTTCTGCAAATATCAGGGCTTCCCAAACCTCGCCTGGGTGTAGCCAGGGGCACGACTGGGCACTGCAGCGTTTTATGGGAGAGGATGTTTGCCTCTGAAAACAGGCAGGGGTTTGCAGATCTCACAGATAACCCCAAACTCCCCTCGCTGCTCGGGAGCCAGAGTGGGAGTGCAGATCGACAGCTCTGCTGCTGTGCCCAGCCCAGAGAGCCAAACCAGGGAGCAAAACGGGCTTGGGGAGGGAGGAAATTCTGCTGTAACAGCAGCAGCCTGAAGCACCTGTGTGTGAGACCTCTCCAGAGCTGCACAGTCAGGCTGGCAGCACGCAGCAGCTACAGCACCTTGTGCTCCACAGGGAATGTGGAGAGGAGGAGGAGGAAGAGGAGGAGGAGGATGAAGAGGAGGAACTAACTTGGGATTTCGCTCCTGCCCCATCCACGGCAAGGGTGACAGAGAGAGCACAGCAGATCACGTGGATTTTGAAGAAGGATCCAAAGAAGTTGCTGCAGCCCAGGGCCAGCATTTCCTGTGGAGATGAGGAGAATGTCCATCAGAAAGGAGAGCTGCCCTTCCTGCTGACACACGGCTACAGGGCAGGGCTCTGAGTCCGGTTTGTGTGGCCAGGGCAGGCTCTGGCTTCCCTGCAGTGCATCCCAGGCTCTTTCCTTCCAGTAAGGTCTGGGATAAGCTCTGGTGCAGCAGGGAAACCTGGAAGCACAATTCCACATAAACACGTTGTCATCTGTTGACACACTCAGGGCAGGGCTCCATGTGGTATGTGTGGCTGCTGTTGAAAGCTGCCACTGTGCCAGGGATGACAAAAGAGGATTATTTCATGTCCTGCCTCTCACAGTATCCAGGTGACACACCAGGAATCCAGGTCTTCCTCTGCTCCCTGAGACATGCACGCACCTCACCGTGCTTCAGCGAGCTGCCAAAACACTGGGTCTGGAGGGGGAGCCAGGCAGAGAGCCCAGCCTAAAGCTCCTTTCCCTTTCCCAGCCTCTCTCCAGCCCACGGGCCGGGGCTCTGCCGCCTCCTTTCGCCCCCCACATGGCACAAAGCCACGGAGCCTCCGCGGGAGCAGCACGTCCGCTTTGAGCCGAGCACGTCTGAGCTCTTCCCTTCACGCCTGAGAGCAAAGGGAGCAGCCCCAGGCTGCCCCAGCCCCAGCCATACCTGGTTGGGGTCCACGTCGTAGCCGTGCTTGGCTGCCAGGGTCCTCCCCATGGCCAGGTTGATCACGTAGCCCACGATGGCCAGCGAGAAAGCCGTGCCCACCATGTCCTTCCACTTGCTCACCAGGGGCAGGGTGGGCTCTGGGAACCTGCACTCAGAGCACAGGTGAGGAGATGTGACAGCGCTGCCCAGGGGCTGGGGCGGTGGGACAGGGAGCTGGAGGATCCAGGAAGGACAGAATCCATGCCCACACTCCGGGGGATTGTGTCACAGGGAACACTCACTCCTGGAAGGGGGTTCTGGTGCAGCAGGGAAGAGTGAGGTGTTTTCCAGGCTGCAGGAGGAGGAGGAGGAAGGAAAACCATCTGGGAGGTGAATCAGACCTGCACAAGCACTTACCCCATGCTGATCTTCCCCACGATTGGCATCCCGTACTTGTCGGGCATGTTGAAGCTGCCGGAGACCGCGGTGGCAACGATCACCTGAAGGGACAGGGAATAAAGAGCAGGGAGAGCTGAGCTGGCCCGGAGCTTTAACCCTGCTGAGCTGAGAGAGTAAAACCAGCACCGAGTTTGGGCTGGGGAAGGCCAGAACAGTCCCAGAACAGCAGGGGTTGTGTTCTGCACCCTCGGCATCACCGGGCTGCAGCGCAGGGATGAGCACGGGCATGGCCCAGGTTCTGACCCCAAAGCACGTGTCACATTCACCGTGCAGATGCTCTGTGTGGTGTCCTGGGGTGAGGGGAGGGCCCAGGGACAGCCCAGGGGTCACTTACGATGATGATCTCCATCGGGATGGGCATCCGGATCTTCTTCATGTACTTGAGGTTGAGCTCCTTGACAACGATCAGGAGCACAGCACTGGCCAAGGCGTAGACCAGGGAGGCCAGGTTGGTTTGGGGCAGACCTTTACAGATGTCAATGAATGTCTGGAGGGGACAGAAGAGGGGAAGGGGTCACAGGAAGCCTGGACAGCAGGGACAGAACAACGGACAGCACTTGTTACCACAATCAACACTCTGTGAGCAGAGTTAAAAACCCTCTGCTGAGGGATCGGCCCCCAGCCCTGGGCCTGTGCTGCTGATTTGATGCAGTTCTGGCTGCATCAGCACAGGATCCATCCACAGAAGGTGCAGGAAATCCCAGGAATGGCCAAACCTGCTCAGAGGAAACGTTCCTGTTGCTACCAACTCTGCAAGACTCTTGCTGTCAAGCACCACAGCTCATATCCCCCACCAGATCCCACTCCCATCTCACGATTCCTCATTAAAACCACACAGACAGGGCTCAGATAACGCTGGGCAGGGAGCACAGCAGCAGCCTGGCTGTGCTGGGGCAGGGATTCCCCTTCCCTCCACCCTTTCCTGGTCTCCTGGGCCCCGTTTCCCCGGCAGGGTGGCGGTGCTGGGGGGAAGGTCGCTGTGCAGAGCCCCCACTTACGTAGACGATAGCTAAGGGCCCGGTGTAAGACGGGACCGTCAAGCCGAAGACGTACTTGAGCACGGAGATGAGGATCTGCAGCCCCGCCGCCGTCATGAAGCCCCTGATGAAGGACTCGGACAGGTAGATGGCCACGAAGCCAAACTGCAGGAAGCCCAGGCACAGCTAGGGTGGCACAGAGGAGCGGTGGTCAGAGCAGTGGCAGCCCCGAGGGAGCTCTCCCACCCATGGCAGGGGTGTTCCGCAGCAGGGATGGGGACAGGAGGGCTGAGGCTGCCATTCCTGGATTGCCCACATGGAGAATTCCACCCCAAGACCAAAAAAATCTCTATTTTGAGGCATCATCCACCCAGAAGCGAGGCCTCTTCGAGCACCTGCCAGCAACACCTGTGCTCCAGGGAGAGCTTGGCTCTCACGTGGCTCAGGGACACAGCAGAGCCCTCACCTGTATGACGGCTGTCAGGCAGGCCAGGGTGGCTGAGATCTCCAGCCTGGCAGCCTCCAGGGCCGTGCTGTTGACGCTGGTCTCGTTGGTGGTGTGGTTGAAGTACTGGAAGTCCGACTCCGGGGCCAGCTCGTTGCAGACGTTGCCAACAATGATGCTGATGACAGCAAAAGTCCCTGCGGGCAGCACGGGGAGGTCAGGAGCTCCCTCTGGGGAGAGCCCTGGCCTGGACGGCTCCTGGGCTGTGCAGAACGAGTCCCTCAGCCCAGCCCCAGCCCCACAGGGACATTGGGGTGACATCCTGCAGAATCAGCGATCCCACAAAGAGCCAACGTCCTGTTCTGGGACACGCCAGCATTGCCAGCCAGCGTTCCACTGCCCTGTGCAGACAATTCCTCACCTGGCACCATCTGATGGATGCCCCCGAGGAAGAAGTAGGGGAGCAGGGGGAAGAAGGAGGAGTAGAGCCCGTTGACAGGAGGCAGATTGGCCAGGAGGGCGAAGGCCATCCCTGCAAAACACGAGGGACACGGGCAGGGAATTCCAGAGACCGCCAGGCTGGAGGCAGAGCTTGGGGTGATCAGGAAAACAACAAAACCCCTCCCAGCCGGGCATCAGCATCACCTGCAGCGCTTCAGCCCGGCTGGGGAGGTGTAATTCCCTCTTGGACACCCCCAGAGCGCCGCTGCTCACCTTGTGGCACTTGGATTGTCCCCGCGCTGAGCCCGCCGAGCACATCGGGCAGGATGTAATCCTTGATTTTGTACTTGGGAAGCCAGGCCAGTATTGGGAACAGGCAGAAGAGGGTGAGCTTGAACCTGGAGGCTGAACATCTGCAAGAGATAAAAAAAAAATAAAAGCAAAGAAGCAAATGAAATAAGGAAGGATCTTCCCAGGAATGTCTCAACCTTTCTCCCTCGCCAGATTCAGAGCCCTCTCTTTCCTCTTATTTCCTATTATTGCCTTCCTTTTTCTGAGGAATGGAGATAGATTTCCAAGAAATCAGCAGGGTTATTAACCTTTATTTGCATAATTATAAACCTTTCTTTAAGGTGCTGTTGGTTTCAGTCAGAAAGCTGAAAAAAGGAAATCTCAGATGGAAAGCTTAAAAAAAAAAATAATCCGCACATCCCTACATCACCAATTGTGCTTTTTCCACTACTAAAAAAAAAGAAACCTTGGAAAACAGGACCCCAAATCCCAGCTGCACTCCGTGCAAACTGTTCTGCTGAGGAAAGAGCCACCAATTTCATTTTCTCCATCCCAATTTGCATTTCTCCCATGCCTTTCATCCATCAAACCCCCGAAGATCTGGTTCCCCAGGATAAAAATGGGATCTGTATTCCCAGAACTCAATTATAACCCCCCAATTCCCTGGTTTATGTCTAAACCTGGTTTAAACTAAACCTGGTTTATGTCCTGCAGCGTTCCCTGGTACCTGAAGAGGTTTCTCAGTTTCTCCCCGACGGGATAAGTTCTGGTTTTCTTCTCAAACTCCTCGTCGAAGAGGCTGACGGAGTAGGCAGGACGCTCGATGGCATAGCGAGGCCTGGCCTGGCTCATCTCTGGATCATTTGGATTTTTCCCAAAATAAATAATAGTAATAAAAAAAAAATAAATAAATAATAATAAAAAAAGAACAGAAACAGCAAAGCCAAGAATGTGGCTGGAGTTGGCCCCACCTGCGGTATAACAGAGCGGACACCTCCAGCGTCTGGAGCCCTCCCCGAGCTTCTCCACCCTAAATAGTTTCCCCGTGGCGGAGAGGCAGGTCCTGGGAGTGGCTTCTCCCAGCTCCAGGGGCTGCTGCAGCTCCCCGGGAGCTTTCCCAGCTCTTCCGAGGTGATGCTGCTAATGAGCGATGCTAATGAGCGATGCTAATGAGCGGTGCGAAGGGACCCGGATAGCCTGGCAGGCGGGCAGGGGGGTTAATCCCGGCTCCGGGAGTGCCTTTTAGCCTCGGGCGAGGCACTTGACCTTTCCCATGGCCGGGTTTCACCGTCGGTGGGGCTGGCAAGGCTCTGCCAGGCTGGGAAAGGTGGTTGGTACTGGGATGAAGGGCTGGATCCCATGGCAGCTGCTCCTGCCGCAATTCCCAGCCTGTCCAGCATTCCACAGCATTTCCGGCATGTCCAGCATCCCTCAGCATTCCCAGTATCCCTCAGCATTCCCAGCATGTCCAGCATCCCACAGCATTCCCAGCCTGTCCAGCATCCCTCAGCATTCCCAGCCTGTCCAGCATTCCACAGCATTTCCAGCATGTCCAGCATCCCTCAGCATTCCCAGCCTGTCCAGCATCCCTCAGCATCCCACAGCATCCCTCAGCATTCCCAGCCTGTCCAGCATCCCACAGCATTCCCAGCCTGTCCAGCACCCCTCAGCATCCCACAGCATCCCTCAGCATTCCCAGCCTGTCCAGCATCCCACAGCATCCCACAGCATCCCACAACCTGTCCAGCATCCCACAGCATTCCCAGCCTGTCCCGCATCCCTCAGCATTCCCAGTCTGTCCAGCATCCCTCAGCATCCCACAGCATCCCTCAGCATTCCCAGTCTGTCCAGCATCCCTCAGCATTCCCAGCCCATCCCGCATCCCTCAGCATTCCCAATCCTCGCTGGCCGCGGCTGAGAGCCCGGGTTTCTCTAGGAAGCGATGCTCGGGGAGATAACTGTTGCTAACTCACGGCAGTGATGAAGATGCCGAAACATCCCGGCAGACCAGTCCTGCCCGGGATCTGGGTCTCACCAGAGGGATGATGAGCTCCCTTTTTTTACCCAGAGATGCCTGGGGAGAGGGGAGAATCACCCCGAGCTGGCCGGGCTGGGAGGGGAGGGAGGAAGTGGTCAGGTATAAAACGAGGATCTCGGTAATTATTTGTGTTTTGGCGTGTATCTAAGTGGGTCATTGCCCAACACAGGAGGAGAAGAGGGGGTGGAAAAAGCCGGTGATTCAGGCAGGAGAATGTATCCAGAAACAACATCCAGGTTGCTGAGAGCTTAGGGAGCGATCTGAACGTGCCAGAACCTCTCCTCCCCTCTCCGGGAGCTGCTGGAAGTCAGGGCACACCTTGACATCGAGTCTGGGACGAGCAAAATGTCCCTCCACAGGGCTGGAGAGAGCCCTGGCTGATACCTTGGGGCGGAGGAGAGCAGGAGATTGTAGCAGAGCAGGGCAGGAAGGAAAGGATGATGCAGGGAGCCGAAACTTTGGGGAGAATTTAGGTCATCATTATGCAAATAGCAGCTAATGGGTCGAGAAAGGGAGGTCATCAACCCCACTCCTTTAGAGATCACATCTGGAGCACTCTGCTGTAAAACTGCCCCGGCCCTGGGCTGTTTGTGATTCCAGCTCTGATCTGCACACCCGGGGCTCGGGAGAGACCCCAGCCCAGGGCTTTGGAGCAGAGAGGAGACCCATCCCTCTTCCTGCAGCGCCAGGTGCCTGACCCAGTGCCCAGGGCATCCCTGCTGCTCCTTCTCCCCTGGAGATTCCCCTCCGAGAGCAAGGACGAGCTCTGCCTTCGGATCACGGAACTGATCCGTGTCCTGGGCTCTTCCCTGATGGTTTTCCCACATTTCCCGTGTTCCTGAGGCTGTCCCCAGCCTTTCTCCCTTCCTGCTTGGAATTTCCAGTTCTCCCTGGTGAGTGTTTTGTAGGTCCAGACTCAGCAACAGCTTCTGAGAGCTGATGAACCCACCCGAGTTCCTGGTGGTCTCTCTGATCTCCATTCTTTCTGCCACAAATTAAATCCCAGCTCTTTAATGAATTTTCCCAGCTGAGAGAAAGTGCTGGCAATCAGGAAAAAAATAATAAACAGAGCAGGTATAGAGGAGAAAATATCCCCATGATTAAATTCCATCTTAAACAAACAGGCTTGTGATGTCAGCGTCTCGGACAGAGTCAAGTTCTTGACTTGGCTTATCACGGCCTTGCCCTAGATCAAACAGCAGCTTAAACCTCTGAGATTTGGGAATTAAAGAGCACGAGGAGCTGCGTGGCTGCTCCTGGAACAAAAGGCAAAGCCAGCTGGCCCGGAGCTGGTGGGGTGAGCCCACGGCAAGCTGCAGAGCTGGTTTAAACCCTGCAGCTGGGGCAGGAGCCCGGAGCAATTCCCGAGAGAGGAGGGGAGAGCGGAGTGCCAGCCAGCTGCTGCATTGCTGGGACCAGGTTCTTCAACATCTCTCTTCCAGTGTGAGCACGGAAATAAGGGACAGGGTCTGGGAGAGGAGCTCCAGGTGCTCACAGGTGTTCAGGCAGCCCATTCCTGCAGTGGGTGATGCTCTGAAATGTTCAGTTTGACCCCGCTGAGTACACAAATGGGATGTGATACTCGGAGCACCTGAGAGCAGAACTGCCCTGCTCCAGCAAGGTGATGTGGGTGACCAATGTTGTCCCAGCAGGTCACGAGTGTCCCCTCAGCCCAGACCTGGCTGATCCCAGCCCTGCCAGTCCCAAACCAGGCTGTGCACACCAGGCACGGACCTTTTCTCCCAGAGTTCGTCCTGCAAACAGCCTCACTGAGCTCTTATCTGCTGTCCCCGTGCTGGTGAGAGCTGTGCTTGGGAAGAGGAAAGTCACATTGAGGTTCCTGGCTGCGGCTGATAGGAGCCATTGGCACAAAGCCACTTTCCTGCACTGACGTAGGCAGAGAACAGGAGCTCCAGTCCAAGAAATGAGTCAAAATTTGGTGAGAGAGCCATTTGATCCCTGCCTTAGGCGTGACACACAGCCCCAAACCCATCCCAAACTGGATTCAAGGAATGAATGTCCCATTCAACCAGCTGCTTCTTAATTTTAAGGATTAAAAATCAGTGCTCTTGAATGAAATAACGCTTCCACCTTTGCCTGCCCCTCTCCATCCCCATTCCCCTTGTGCAAGGCACACCCAGCCCTGTGTGCTGTTTGCTTCGGCACTGGGTTCAGAGGTCCAACTTTTTCCCAATCCCGTGTGAATCTCCATCCAAAACACCCCCTCCCGGCCCCATTGCCCAAGAAAGGGCCATAAAAGCAGCTCCCCCCTATCCCCCGGACCAGGAGAACGCAGGCACAGGTGCAAGGGTTTGGTTGCAACACCAGGACAAGGTCTTGACTCCTGTGCCCTGGACCGGAGCCTTCAGCTGCGGCTGCAGGTGCCACACGAGCCCTGGGGCAACGCGGTGAAAGGGCCCAGCTCCTGCAGGGTCAGCAGGGGAAGCCACCAGGTCCTCCCTGAGACCCGCGTGGCACGGGCGCTGGTCTTGTGGTGCCAGGTGTGGCCGTGCCCAGGTGTGGCCGTGCCAGGTGTGGCCATGCCCAGGTGTGGCAGTGCCAGATGTGGCCATGCCCAGGTGTGGCGGTGCCAGATGTGGCCATGCCCAGATGTGGCCGTGCCAGATGTGGCAGTGCCCAGATGTGGCCGTGCCAGATGTGGCCGTGCCAGATGTGGCCGTGCCCAGGTGTGGCGGTGCCAGATGTGGCCATGCCCAGATGTGGCCGTGCCCAGATGTGACCATGCCAGATGTGGCCGTGCCAGACCTGGCCGTGCCAGGCTCCGCAGCACCAGGTGCTCCCCCGGACTGAACTGTCCCTCACCCTCCTGCCGCACACCGCGGCGCCCAGGCAGGAGGAGAGGGAGGTTCCTGCTGGGGCTCCCTCAGCTCAGGTATTTCAGGAGATGTTGTATAATTCACCTCTGCCATCGGGCACCGGCGGATTCTCTCCCGCCCTCCCCGGTCACTCCCTGCAACCTCTTGGCACTGGGAACGTGCCAGGACCGAGTCCAGCTGATGGACAACACCAGGAACTCACCACCAAGGGACCCCAGGGGCTTCAGCCGGGCCGTTTGGGCACAAATTCTTTTCCACACTTCAAATTTGGTTAATTTAGATTTGTTTTACCTTTGGCTCTGGATGGCCACAGCCTTCACCTACAAGTGATTCAGGAAGAAAAGCTGGTGGTGGTAAAGACACATTTACAGTCCCACATTCCTGGTATTTTGGGGGGAAAAAAATCATTCCCAGTAATCTGGGGAGGGGGAAGAAGCAGGGGCAGGGGAGCAGGGGTCATATTCAGGGGGCTGATGCCGTGCACTGGGCACACACATTTGTCCCTGGGCTTTAACCTTTTCTTAACCTTTACCCATCAGAAACAGAAGGGGAAGACACCAGAAGAGCATATGAATCAGTAATGAAAAATATCCACGCCTCAGAAAAGGCAAAATGCCAGAATCCGTAAATTCAGTCAGAACTTTGCTGTTTTCCACGAGGAACCACCGTGATGGCTGGTGCAATAAAAGCCAGAGGGAGAAGGGGGTGAGAGGAGGTGCTAGCGGGCTCTGATGGATCTTGGGCAGGCATGGGATGGATCCCGTGCCACAGGGACCGGGAGGAGACATCTCTGCTTCCCTCCAGCTCCCACCTCCCACCCCTCTGCCCTGAGCTGCCCCTCATCCCCCGGGAGCTGCCGTCCCATTCCCCCATTCCCACAGAACAGCAGGCACTAAATCAATGTTTTCTTTCTGCTCAGATCCCATATTTGGAGTGTTAAATAGGTGATTTCCATAAGGCAGATGGCCCTGGTCTCGTTGTGAGTGACCCAGCCCAGCGCAGGCAGCGGGCAGAGCTCTTGTGCTGCGGGAGCTGGGCCGGTGCCAATGTTTGATGTACCACTTCACACGAGTTTCTAACCAAACTAGCTCTGTGACTGGTAACCAGAATAATAAAATCTGCAGGCATCTGCCAGCTACTGAGGGTGAAGCCAAAGTGTTTGGCTCACAGGGTGTTTATTAAGTGAAATGTTTTGATTCAGCAGCTCGGCTCCCGCGCTGTGCTGTGGTCACGGGGGATGTGCCCTGCACAATGCCCAGGTTGGACCCACTTTTCCTGGGGTTTGTTTGATTTGCCCACTTGTCCCCAACCCCACCCCAACCCTCCATTGCTGCTGGAGCCGCATCAGCGCCGCAGCTCCGTGAGGAAGAGCTTGGCTGGGGCGAGGCATTGGGCACATGGCCCGGGGTGCTGTGCTTTGGGATGGCCATAAACCCCATCTGCTCCTCCAAAAGCTTCCCTGCCCTGCTGTCCTCCCGGGCTGAGTGTGCCAGAGCACTGCCTGACCCCAACAGCATCTCAGCCCAGTCCCTGAAGTGCTGTCTCCATCCCCTTCCCCTGGGAAAGGCAGCTGAGATGGGCAGGAGTGAGCTGAAAATGTCATTTAAAGGAAGGAGAAGTGAGATTTTGTTGTCCCTCAGCGCCGCAGCCTCTGCTCTCCACGTGTCTCTGACCTTTCAAAGAGCAGTGGGCAGCGCAAATCCAGAGGAATTAAAAAGTTTGCAGCGTTCCTGCAGGGCCTGGCAGCTCTGATCAGGGATGCCTGCTGAAATCTCACTCCTCCACATGCTCCCGCCCTGGTGGATCCACTCTCAGAGAAGGAAAAACACCTCTGGGGTCACCCCGTCCATCCTGTCCCGGAGGTGGAGGATGGGACGGCATTTCTGCACCGGGAATCTCTGACCTGGGGCAGAAACACTGCGTGACCAGGACAAATGTCACCACAGGGACTTATCTCTGAGGGAGAGAAGGACAGGTCCCCAGATCCAGCTTTCAGCCTGCTTACAATTAAGGTGTGGACAAATTTTATCAGGGCAGAGCAGAAAGCATCCCAGCTGCTGGAGCTGAGGTTTTCCACCACGGAGCAAGACTGAGGGGATATTTCCCCTTGTTTATACACGAGGCAGCCTGCTCATGCTGGACCCAAATATCCTTTGAAACGGCACTGGAGGAGCTGGAGACCCTGCACCCGCTGGGACAGGTCTCAACCTGGGGTCACTCCTCATTCCCAGCTTTAAAATTCCCTCCTAACCTCCCTGCTAGCAGGATTTGACATCTGGGTTTCAATCCAACCTTTCCTGGGTTGGATTCCTGTTCTTCCCAACCTCTGGGCTCCACATCCCTTCCCTCTATCCCAGGATGTGCAACACCCGATTTGGGCTGCAACATCCTCAGGGCAGCGACGCTTTCCACAGTCCCAGGCACAGAAAGTTCATAACAAGGCTCTGGAAAGCGAGTGTTTCCCATCAGTGGTGCCTGTCCTGTGTCAGGCAAATCCCTCCACACGTCTCAGCAGGAACCAGGAGGGATAAGATGGCAGGATTTATTCTAGCAATAATTAATTCGCATATTTGGCTCTTCCAGAGTCTCTCTCTTCGTAATAAATCAAGCTGCTGGGTCGTTGGTGTTGCTAATTCCTGAGTAAATCTGCTGCTGTAAATCCCCTCGGCGGAAGGAGGGAGGAAAAGAGAGAGGGGGGGAGAAGGGAGGGAGAAATTAAAATTGAAAAAGAAGAAAAAAAGAAGAAAAAAAAGAAAAAAAAGGGGGAAAAAAGGGAAAAAAAAGGAAAAAAAGGGGAAAAAATGGAGAAAAGGGGGAAAAAATGGAGAAAAGGGGGAAAAAAAGGAAAAAAGATAAAGTAAAGGGAAAAAAGGGGGAAAAGGGGAAAAAAAGGGAAAAAAGGGGGAAAAAGGGGGAAAAAAGGGGAAAAAAGGAAAGAAAGGAAAAAAAAGGAAAAAAAAAGGAAAAAAAGGAGGGAAAAAAGGAAAAAAAAGGGAAAAAAAAGGAAAAAAAAGAAAAAATAAAGGGAAAAAAAATGGAAAAAAAAAAGAAAAAAGAAGTAGCAGTTCTCCAAATACTGCGCCTCACACCCAGTGGCTGTGCAAGCGGAGTGTAAATCCCCCACGCCCACCCAGACAAAGAGGCCGATTGTTGGAGTTACCTGCGCCTCGGGAGAGGGGCCGATGGTGCGAGGGGGGCGCAGATGTGGCAGGAGGAGCTGCCCAGGAGCTGCTGCCCACGAGGTGTGCAGAGCTCTGCGCTCACAGCAGCCAGTGAGTCATTTATAAATCACCTCAGTCAAGGGGACCGAGGGCTGTGCTCGGCGCCTGATTGGCTTGGGGAGGTAATTGCGAGCAGGTACACCCGGGCTAAGCCCAGGAGATAGCCAGGGGAGATAAAGGGAGATCTGAAGAGGGAGAAGAGCTTTTTTTGGATGTCCCCCCTCACCCCGCTCCGGCCTGGGCCGTTTGATCCCCTCGGCGGGTCCCTCGGTGCTCAGGGTGACAATAACCCACATTCACCTCCCTCCCCTGCCCCAGGCCGGGGGTGCAGAGGATGCTTTTGTGGCCTCGGTGGGCAGCGGCCGCCCGGCCTTTGAGCTCTCCGCCCCCGGGGTGGACAATGGGGGGCTTTGTGGCCGAGAAGGGATCGGCAGCGGAAAGCGGAGTGTCTCTCGTTTCCAGCTTCAAAGGGATGAGAGGAGCGGGGAGGAGAGGGGAGGAGAGGGGATGCGCCCCCCGGAGCGGGCTGGGCTGGGCGGGGATGCGCTGGGAGCTCCCGCGGTGCGGGGATGCTCGGCAGGCTCGGGATGGGCTCTCGGGCTCTGTCTGCCATCGCAGCCACGGGCCCCGGGCAGGAGCCACACCTGGCCACCAGCAGAGGGTTTGACAGGTTCTTCTGCCGCCCCTGGCAGGGGACAGCGATGAGCCGGGAGGGGCCGGCCGGGAGCTGCGGCTTGGGAGCCACCCCTGAGGTGCTGCTCGATGGCCCGGCCAGGGAGCTGCCAGGGCTTGGGGACAGGCAGCGTCTGAAACTGGAAAAGCTCCTGTGACAGCTCAGGGAGAGCTCAGAGTAGGGGACAAGGCTCATCCCGTGCTGCCATCGTGTCCAACCCATGGCAGCTCCACTGTGCCGAGCTGGGGCCAGGATCCTGATCTCTCCAGGCTCCTGATCTCCTCTCCAGGCTCCTGGACTCATCTCCAGGCTCCTGAACTCCTCTCCAGGCTCCTGGACTCCTCTCCAGGCTCCTGGACTCCTCTCCAGGCTCCTGGACTCCTCTCCAGGCTCCTGGACCCCTCTCCAGGCTCCTGGACTCCTCTCCAGGCTCCTGGACCCCTCTCCAGGCTCCTGAACCCCTCTCCAGGCTCCTGATCTCCTCTCCAGGCTCCTGTACTCCTCTCCAGGCTCCTGAACTCCTCTGCAGGCTCCTGTACTCCTCTCCTCTCCTCCCAGAGGGATTTGAGAGTGCAGGAGCCAGGTTCCAGCCAGGTGCTGCAGGTGATGAGATGGACAGGGACATCAGGAATGGGATGAGGAATGGGTCAGGGAATGTCCCCAGAGGAACTGGCCAGCAGAAGGAAGCTGCAGGGGGTTATTTGCTGTGGAGGAATTGATCTCTGGTGTTGCCGGTGTCCCCAAGGGAAGCTTGGCACAGGGAGCTCACGGGGGTGGCTCTGCTGCCCTCCCTCCTCCGGGTGGCACCGGGATGTGCTGGGAGATGATGGGAAAAGCGGGGAGAGAGCCAGGAGGGCAGGGAACGCAGGGCTGGGGCCAGGAGAAGGGAGAAGGCAGCGGTGTGGCCTTTGCTCGCTCCCAGAGTAAAAATTCCCGGTACCCTTGATGCTCGAGGCATCAGCAGCCACTGCCAAGAAAGCTGACGGTGTGCAAACCAATCTCTGTGCTCCAGAGGAACACCCTGCCGGAGGTGCCGGGGAAAGGGGCTGATTCATCACCATCTGACCGACACAGGCAATAATTGCCCAGCAGTTATCCCGTAAATATCATTAATAACTCATATCGAGCGGGGTTTTTTGGAAGGGCAGCCCAGGAGTGTTCCCAGAGGAAACTGTCGCAGGGAAAATCCCTGGAATGCGGAGCTCCAGCATCCACAGGGATCCTGCACCTCGGGAAGGGAGGGAACAGCATCCTGGACGATGCTAATTAACATCCAGGGCTAATGTGCGGGGTTAATTAGCTGGAATGGTCGTGCCAAAAGGGACTTTTGCCATCAATAAAGGGCATTTTTCCTAGTGAGGCTCCGCCAAAGAAAGACAAAAGGTAAAAGTCCAGAGCTGGCTCCTGGCATGAGGGAAGCAGGAGCAGCTGGTGCTGCTCATCCCCTGACCTGCTGTGTGCATCAGGCCCTGGGCAGGCCCTGGAGGGCCCAGCGAGCTCAGGAGAGGGATTCCAGGTCCTGGGAATGCCACTGACCCCTGGCACAGGCAGGAAAGGGCTGTGTGGGCACATTGGGACACAAAACCACCCCAAAGGGACTCAGTGCTGCACTTGCTGGGCTTGGACTGCGATGCTGGTTGGGTTTTTGTCCTCCCAGCATTGGCAAAACCCAGTGGAGCTCTCAAGCATGTGCAAGGTAATTTTTCCACAGGGAATGACTTCCACGAAACCTTCAGGCTCTCCCTGTCCCCAGCCCCAGTGTCCCTCCTGCACAGACGGATTCCCTTTTGTTTCCTGCTGCTATTCCAAAGTCCTGCTGGGTGTGATCAGGATTAAACGAGGTCTTGCCCTACAAAGAACCCAGCCCTGTGCAGCCACCGATGCTCCTGGGGCATTTCTGGCGTGGGAGGCGCAGTCCTGGTCAAATTCCATTTGCAGTAATTATAAATACAACTCATTCTGCCTCTTTCTGCTCTGGCCAAACTCTCCAGGTGTGGCCCGAGGATGTGGCCACCAGCAGAGCATCCAGGACGGTGTGCAAGGCACGGATGAGAAGCAGCAGGACACGGAGAGACACCCCAGGGACTCCCCAGGTCAGCCTGGGGTGCTGAGCTGGTTATCTCCCGGGCCGATAGCGGCATTCCACGCGCTGGAATGTGCGGATTTGTTTGCAGATGATTAATTTGAGCAGATACGCTGCAGTTAATGGGGGCAATAATTCAGTGGGAGCCCGAGGGGCAGCAGGGACGGGCGGCCCATGCCCCGGGGCAGAGGGGAACGGTTCCTGGGAGATGCTGGGACCTGCAGGGAGCCTCCCTCCCTCCTTCTCTCCCTCTCCCATCCCCAGCCCTGCAGCCAGGGCTGCTCCTCGCTTTGGGGTGGTTTTGCCGAGGAAACGGAGCGATGGGAAGGAGGCAGGGCTGGGGATGGAGATGCTGCAGGTGGAGCGGGGCAGCCTCTGGAGAAGTCTGGGATGGTGCTGAACACATCGAGAGATGCTGGGAAGTTTTTCCTCCTGGCTGATGTGACTGTGACACCTGCACAGGGTGAAGCCAGGGCGGGGTGTCCTGCTTGTCTGTCTGTCTGTCTGTCTGTCCCTTCAGGAGCGTTTGAAATCCCTCAGCCGGGTGGGAAAGCAGAGATCTGGGCTGCCCGAATCCCACAGGAATGAGGTGGCCGCTCCTGGAGCGGGTGATGGACAGGCCCAGCGCTGCAGGATGCTCGGAGCTGCTGCGAGGGTGGGCAGGGGCTGGCACCGCCGGTGTCACCCCGTGTGTGACCGCACAGAGCCCGGCTGGAGCCCTGAGCTTCCCAGGGCTGCTTATCTCCATTTCCTGCTCACCCAGGAACGCAGGGCCCGGGCTGGATGCCACCATCCCGCTGGCAGAGGTGGCACCTGTGGCTCCGTGGTGCCAGGGCTGGAGCCACAGGTGGCACCTGAAAGGGACCCGCTGGCGCTGCCACCCCCACCTGGTGTCACCCGCTGTCCCAGGGGCCTGATCCGGGCAGGAATGAGGAACACCACGTCCCAGAGGGAGGCAGCAGGGTTATTTACAGCACCAAAAGGAAGGCTGCACGGCAGGACGGCTCCGGGAGCTGCCCCCGTGGCTCGGCTGCCCGTGGGCGTTCGGGGCTGGGGAGAGGCTCTGGGGATTTGGGGTTTGTCTGCCCGAGGAATCGCTGGGTCACAGCTGCTCGAGGCCTTCCCAGCCTGCCTGAGCCCTGTGGGGACGTCTCCAGAGGCAAGGGAAGGGCCACCCTTCTGCTGAGACCGTGTGTGTGGGGTCAGCCCTGTCACAGCCACGGCACATCCCCACACTGAAGGGTTTGTGGGGCAGGACCCCTGGCTTGGGGAGCAGAGCATGTTCTGCTGCTCAGAGCCAACCCCACCGACCCAAATTTCTGTCTGGAGCACCACAAGGACCTCCAGAGAAATCCTCACCCCCAAAAAGGCCCTGGCCAGGCCGTGGAGAGCACCTGGCACCGGGCTGTGTGTCCGGCCTGGACAAACCTCAGGTCACCTTGAGCAAGGGCTGTTATCTTATTTGTAAAATAGGTGTAAGATATCTGCCTTCTCCAGGGGAACTCCAAATGTGCTCAGCAAAGTCTGCCCAAGGGACACGAGTAGCTCCTGGGGCTGGGAGCAGCCCCAGCATCAAAAATTCCTGCCCTTGGAGCAGCCCCGAAGCGTTGGGGGCCCCCAGGCCGAGGGGTTCACCCCATTCCCCTGGAATTCAGGCTGGGGGCTGGCTCCAGGCACTGCCTCCCCCACCCCTCAAGGCTTTCTACCCACTCTGACCCAGCAGAGTCAGCCCAAACCAGGCTTTTTTCACTTAAACCTTTGAATTCCTGAGAAGGGAGGTTTTCCAACCTGAAAAAAAAAATAAAAAAAAAAAGAATTTTCCCTCAAAAAAAGAAAAAAAAGTGGGAAGGTGTGTGGAGAGGAACGTGTGGCTTCTCCTTGCTTCCCCAAGGTGGGACAAGGAGGGGAAAGTGATCCTGGGCCCATCACTGCTGCTATTTGCCCTTGGGCAACTCATTAAGGCCCAAAGGCTTGGATGGGGGGGAGATAAAGCCTGAACTAAAGCTGCTCATTGTTCTGAGGTCAGTGCCTGCAGAGGAGCTCAGGTGTTGGATGTGAGGACCTGGAGGAGGTCCTGTCGCCCCTGGTCAGACAGATTTTAGATGAAAGCTTTGCCTTTTTTAGGAGTTTTAGGAGTGTTGGTGCTGCAGCTGTGGCTGAGGCCAGGGGGCAGCTCAGCCTGCCCTGAAAGAGTCGCTGGTTAAAGGGCATTAAAGTTAAATAAAAGCATTTGGGGCCAGAGGGAGGCAGTGGCCAGGTGGAATCTGGTGGGACAGGGACTCTGGTGGGACAGGGACTCTGGTGGGACAGAGACTCTCTGCCCTGAGCCTCTCCCAGGGCTCGAGGGAGGCTCTGTTGGTACCCTGGTCTGGTCCCCAGGGATGCTGCTGATACCAAAATGGGCCAGAATAAACTTTCTAACACAATTTGAAGCATTTAATCTTTCATCTCCATTCAGCAACCTCAGAAAAAATTGAAAAATTCGATTCTCTGTATTATTTATCACTGCAGACCTGCGGGAGCTCAGCCAGGGCAGTGAGAGGAGGCAAATCCCCCTTTTCCCTTCGCTCAGCACGAGTGGAGCTGCAGATCCCCATTGTTTGTGTCTGCCCACACTCTGAGGAGCTGCTTGTTCACCCAGGACAGAGTGCAGCCTATCCCCAACCCGAATCTGGGGGATTTGGGGTCGCCAGCTCCTCCTGGGGCAGCAGGAGGCTGCTGCTGTTCTCCAGGTACCAACCACGCTGGAATTCCCATGGGAAGGGGGTGTCTGTCCATCCCTGTGCCAAGGGACACAGCCCTCCCGTGTGAGCCCGGCTGTGCCTCGGTCCTGCCTCGGCCCTTGGCACGGGGACCATCCCATCCCATCCCGATAAAACCAGCCCTTCACGGATTTCTCCGGGAGCTTTTCCCTCTCTGGGATCCTCTGACATCACTCAGCACCTCTGTGGGGCTTTGCAGGACCAAAGGGAGGGCAGGGAGGGGTGGGACAGTGGGGCCTGGCTGGGGCCACCCTGCCCAGCCCTGATGCTGCTGCTGGCCCCAGCTGGAGGCTCGGGGTGCCCCCTGACCCCAGCGTGTCCCAGAGCTGGCTGCGGACTGTCCCCAGCCCCTAACCCTCTGTACGCGCTGCCTCTCAGCCCTGCCGTGTCCCCAGACCCCCCTGTCCCCAGCCAGGGGCCAGCAGGGCCCTGTGGCCCCACACCACCCCACACCTGGGTGTCCTCTGGGGTGGGACATGGTGACAACACCTCCCCTGGGCTGGGGATGAAGGAGAAACAGCAACATTTGCTGTGTTTGGGTGGGCAGTGAGGATTTTGTGCTCCAAACCTGGCTGATTGTGAGTCCCTTTTGGGGACAGCCCCTCCTTGGGGGGACAGTCCCACCGACCCCATCGGTGTCACCCCTCAGCACGGGCAGAACGGGGCAGCAGGAAAGGGAGAATTTGGATAATTCCCAGCACCGGGAGTGCCCTTGGAAAGAAATGCCAGTGTGCCACAGGCCAGGCCAGCCCCCCGAGCCCTTGGCTAGCGGGTGACAGGGACCAGGAGTGGCCCTGGTGGCGCAGGGAGGCTGCAGAGCGCTGTGACACCTCCAGAGGTGTTTGCTGCCCTGCGGCCCGGTGGCACCAGGGGACAGAGATAAGGCTTTGCGTGATGCCGTGGCTTTGTTTTTCACGTCTGACGCTTTTGAAAGGTTACCTGGAACTTTGAACCTCTGGGGTTTATCAGGTCGGCTTTGAAGCCACTGCGTTACTCCCAGCCCCAGCTCCAGGTTAATGGGGCTGCTGCTTCCAAACTGAAAAACTTGGGGTTTTTTATTGTCTTTTAAAGGTGTTTTCCAGAGCTTTTATTTAAATTCTCACATTTCAATAAAAGAAGTTAATCCCACCCAGCTCCGGGTGCCACAGGCTGGGGTAGGTGGACATTCAGGGACCTGATTTCATGGTGGGCTTGATGATCTCAAAGGGCTTTTCCAACCTAAATGATCAATTCCATGATTCCTGGGCACTGCTGCCTGTGCCTGGCACGTGTCTGAGGAAGGAGCAGCGGAGGAGCCGCTCTCTGCCAGCCCTGCACGGGGGATTTGTGATTCCATTCCCCCTCCCCAGCACCGCTGCCACCCCTGGAAGCAGCCGGAGCTCAGCAGGGCTGGATCCACCGGCTGACACGGAGCACACGCTGGGTTTCCACGTGGGATGAGGGGTGGTGAACAGCTCTCAGGGGAAATTGAACCCCACAACACTGGGAGTCGGGGATTTGGGGGGGCTAATTCCTCAAATAGTGAGGGCAGATCTTCTGCAGGAGGGTTGGGATGGTCCCTGTTTGGTGACCAGGGTGGGATTTTACTGATTTTTGTTGTTTCAATGGATGTGAATGAAAACCTGTAGGGATTCTGGGAAGTCTCTGGTTATTAAACAGGACATAATCAAATGTCTGTGGTTATTAAACTGTGGGCAAGGGAGCAGGAGAGCTCAGGTTTGGTTCCTCAGCAGCAGCCACAGGCCAGGCTCTCCACCAGGGCGAGCTCAGGAACTCAGGTGGCTGCTCAGGAACTCACTGAGTCACACAAGACAAATATTTTCCCCTTTGATTTTCACCCTGAGAAAATCTCGAGCTGACCTTGTTAATCCCACGTGTTGCAAACCTCCCCCTGTCCTTTATCGGGTTTCGGCTGTGGGATAGTGTTACCAGCTCAGCACCTCTGGCTGCTCCTGCCAGCATCCTGCCTGGCACTGTGCCACCCTGCCCTGCTCTCCTGGCCTGTCCCCTGGGCTGCCTGGCCAGCAGGACACCCTGCCCTGCTCTCCTGGCCTGTCCCCATCCTGCCTGGCCAGCAGGACACCCTGCCCTGCTCTCCTGGCTGTCCCCATCCTGCCTGGCACTGTGCCACCCTGCCCTGCTCTCCTGGCTGTCCCCATCCTGCCAGTCCAGCAGCACACCCTGCCCAGCAGGGATGGAGGGAGAGGAAAAGCTGGATGGCTGCACATCTGCCAGATGTGTCAGCCAGGGTTTCTGCAGGGTGCTGATGCCACTGGAGATCCTGCCAGCTCCCGAGGCTGCAGCATCCTTCCCAGTCCTAATTCCCGTGTCGGGAATGATGTTGTGTGGATGCACAAAGTGCTGGGCCCTGCTCAGTTTGAGCCCAGCACCTCAGAGCCCACCCAAGGGCTCTGGAGAGAGCTGTGCCTGCGGCTCGAGGTCTGAGCCCAGCTCCTGCCTGTCCCTGGCCGGAGCATCCAGGGCTGCAGGTGGACCCTGAGCCAACCCTGCAGCTCCCACCTGGCTCCAGCTCCTGCCACTCACAGGTTCCAGCACCCACAGCAGCCCTGGCTTTGTGCCAGAGGCTGCCCAGCCCCGGCTCAGGGAGCACCCGCTCCACCGGCTGTGTTTGTGTGACCCGCTCAGCCCCGGGAGCCCAAACTGCTGCTTGCCGGGGTAAAACAGATCAGGTTTTTGTTTGCCAGCGCTGGGAGCTGCTGGGGGAAGGGGGTGAGGATAAAAAACAGCGCTGCTGCCCCGGGCAGCGCTCAGCACCCGCTCCCGTGCCAGGATGGGGCTGGGGGATGCTGCGTGTGAGGGGGGCTCGGCCAGGCACAGGGTGGGGGAAAGACCGTGCAGAACGTGGGGAGGAAATAGTTAATGCCCCTCTCCTCCCAGTAGGAAGGGACAAATCCTCTCCCCGGCCCGGTGCCCAAATAAACAGGCGGAGCATTGCGTAAGGAGCAGGGTGGGAACTCTCCGTTCCTCTCCGGGCGGTCCGGCCGAGGCTCTGCAGCCCCCCGTGCCAGCCCTCGCTCAGCTTTCACCGCTCCGGAGCTCTCCTGGCATCCCCCGTGCCAGCCCTCGCTCAGCTTTCATCGCTCCGGTTCCTGTCCTGGCATCCCCCGTGCCAGCCCTCGCTCAGCTGTCCCCTGTTCCTGTCCTGGCAGTCCCTGCCGCTGTCCTGGGTCCCCAGCCCTGGGCGCTGTCCCCGTGGGCAGCTCCGGGGATGCCACGGAAACCTCGGGAAGCTCAGCGGGAGCGGAGGGGTGTGGAGGGTCCCTGCTGAGCCCCCTGGGAATCGGGATCCATCCAGCCCGGCCGGGGGGATGCTGCAGCATCCTCCTGCTGGAAGGAGCCCGGAGCGGGGCGGGATGGATGCTGGAAGGGAAGCGGGAGCCGGGCTCCGCTCCCAGCGGGCTCCCTCTGCCGACAGCCGCCCCCGGGCCACCTCTGCACGGCCTCCTCTCTCCCCTCACCCAAAATCTGCACTGGGGGAAAATAAAAAAAAAGCCAGACCCAAAATGCATCCCCCCAGCCCTGAGAACGCGCTCAGAGAGGAAAGGCTGGAGCCCCCACCTCCCCACCTTCCTGCTGCGGGACCTGGGGAGCGTTTTGCAACACAGAAATACAAATAAAAATGAAATATTTAATTATTTTTTTGTTTTTTAAAAAAAGAGAGAACCCCTGACAAAGTGCTTTTTTTGAGAATCCTCCCCAGTGAGGAGGGAGGGGGGGAAGGTGTTTGATGGGGGATATGTGTGAGAGGAGGGGAAACTGAGGCACGGAATCGTTGCCTCCACAGAAGGGCCCTGTGCCAAGGCCACCAGCCCCAAATGTCCCCTCCAGGCCAGCCCGTGCCCACCCTGAGAGCTGTGGGGCCACCAGGCCGTGTACCGGGCAGGGTCACGCCAAGGAGCTGTGCCCACATCCCTGGCACTGTCACCGCAGGGACATCGGGAGCCCGACGGCAGCACACCCAGCAGGGACAGGGCCACCGTGACACCCAGACATTGGGACACCGTGACACCCAGACAATGGGACACCGTGACACCCAGGCCATTGGGCCACCGTGACACCCAGGCTTTGGGCCACCGTGACACCCAGGCTTTGGGACACTGTGACACCCAGGCCATTGGGCCACCGTGACACCCAGGCCTTTGGGACACTGTGACACCCAGGCTTTGGGACACCGTGACACCCAGGCTTTGGGAGGCTCGGGACAGCAGCTCCAGAGCCGTGGGAAGCAGCAAATCCCTGGATGTGCAGGTCCTGCTGTGTCCAGCCGGTCCCCGTGGCCAGGCCGGGGTGGGCAGGGGGCTCGGACCCCCGGGCAGGGCTCCAGCCGTGGGCATCGAGGGGGTCCAGTGGCCCCGGGGTCAGCAGCAGCTCTGCTTGGGCTTGTCGTTGGGAGTGAGCTTGATGGAGTCGGTTAAATAACTCTCAAAAATCCCTTTATACTGGAAAAACAAACCGGAGAAGGGAAAGGATGAGCGAGCCCAGCGGAGCTGGGGTTCAGCCCTGACTTGGGATTAAAGGCAAAATCCAGGGAAAAGCCACCTAGTGCCGGGCTTGGGGACACGGATGTCCCCGTGGCACGGCCGCTAGAGGACAGTGCTGGCGCGCCCTGGGTGCCACACGCCGCCTTCCCGGCACTGCGGGAAAAGGAAAAGGCGATTCCCATCCTTTTCTTATCGATTTGGGATCAAACACCGCTGCGTTTCTCACCCCCGGGGCTCTGCGCTGCAGCGGGAGCTGCTCCACACGGGAGGATGAGGCAGAGCAGCCTCGGTTCCCCCCCGAGCGCTCCCCCGGCACTGCTCACAGCTCACCGGGGGATGCTGACCGGGGGATGCTGACCGGAGATGCTCACAGGGGGATGCTGAGCGGGGGATGCTCACCAGGGGATGCTCATCGGGGGATGCTGACCGGGGGATGCTCACTGGGGGATGCTCACCGGGGGATGCTGACTGGGGGATGCTCACCGGGGGATGCTCAGCGGGGGATGCTCACTGGGGGATGCTCACCGGGGGATGCTGACCGGGGGATGCTCACAGGGGGATGCTCACAGGGGGATGCTCACCGGGGGATGCTGACCGGGGGATGCTCACCGGGGGATGCTCACCAGGGGATGCTCACCGGGGGATGCTCACCGGGGGATGCTCACAGGGGGATGCTCACCAGGGGATGCTGACCGGGGATGCTCACTGGGGGATGCTCACCGGGGGATGCTCACCGGGGGATGCTCACCGTGCTCAGCGCCTGCTTCGCCAGCGTCTCAAAAGCCTCGGCCACGTTGATGTTGTTCTTGGCGCTGACCTCGAAATACGGGATGTCCTTCTCCTTGCACCAGGCTGAGGCCGTTTCCTTGGGCACCTGGGGACGGGAGGATGGAGCCAGAGCTCGGGGATGGGACAGGGGACCCTCCTCAGCCGTCTGCTGGCAGTGCCTGAGGTTGTCATTCCTGCTGCCTCTGCTGGGGACAGTCCCCAAAGAGCAGCAGGAGGATGTTGTTTATCCCCTGCAGGAATCCTGGGGTGGGTGGCAGCCTGGAGCTCTGGTTTTCATGTGAGGACAGGGAAAAGGCTGGTTCTGAGGTGAAGGATCAGCCATCAAAGCCATTTAGGACCCTCCAGAATCCCAATCACAGAATTGTTTAAGTTGGAAAAGTCCTTCAAGATCATCAAGTCCAGCCATCAACCCAGCACTAAACGATGTCCCCAAGTGCCACATCTGTACAACTTTTAAATCCCCCCAGGGCCGGTGACTCCAGCGCTGCTCATCCCCCTCTCCCTCCTCCACCCTTACCTGCCGGTCACTGAGGTCAATCTTGTTCCCCAGCACGACCATGGGGAAATCCTGTTCCCTGGGAATGACCTTCTCCAGGAAATCATCTCTCCAGTTATCCAGGGCCTCGAAGGACTCCCTGTCCGTCACGTCGAAGGCCAGCATGCAGCCGTCCGAGCCTTTGTAAAAGGTCGACACCATGGACCGGAATCGCTCCTGTCCGCCCGTGTCCCAGATCTAGGGCAGAGGAGGGCACAGATGGACACAGCCCAGGGGCAGGGTGGGGGCTGCGGCCCAGAGGAGCAGCTTCAGGGGGTGCTGAGCCCCCAGGATTCCCATGGGATTCCAGCGCAGTTCATGGATGATGAAAATCAGGCTCTGAAAATCGGGCTCTGAAAATCGGGCTCTGAAAATCAGGCTCTGAAAATCAGGCTCTGAAAATCGGGTTCTGAAAATCGGGCTCTGAAAATCAGGCTCTGAAAATCAGCTCTGAAATTCAGCTCTGAAATTCAGCTCTGAAATTCAGCTCTGAAAATGGGGCTCTGAAATTCAGCTCTGAAATTGGGCTCTGAAAATGGGGCTCTGCACATGCAGCCCTGCACCTCATGACCCCGGTGGGCATTTGGGACACACCCAGCCCTGGGATCCGGGGTCAGGGTGGGCAGTGCCAGCTCACCCCGCTCACCTGCAGCTTCAGGGGGGTGTTGTCCACAGCCAGGACCTTGGTGAGGATGCTGGCGCCCAGCGTGGTGCGGTAATCCTCGTAGAACGTCTTGTGCACGTACTGGTGCAGCAGAGAGGTCTTGCCCACGCTGGTGACAGCAAAGGGACACCGCTGAGGCTTTGCAGCACCCGGGGGTGGGCAGGGCCAGGGGACACCCAGCACCCTCAGGGAGCTTTTCTGCCTGCTCCTTACCCCAGAGCTCCGATGATGATGATCTTCAGATCCACCTTCTTGCTGGCATCCATGGGCAGGCCCTGTGGGACGGGAGAGTGGGGACGGCTGTGGGGATGGCTCTGGTGCTGTCCCTGCTCCCAGCACGGATGTCGCTGTGTCCTCACCGTGCTGTCACCATGCCCGTGCCATGCCAGCCCTTGTGTTCCAGGCATGGTGGGGACAGAAATCCTCCCGTGCCAAGCCCGGCCCACGTCCCTCCCGAGGAGCCGGAGCACGCCCGGACCCGTCGCTTCATCACCATTCAAAACTTCCAGGAGCCACTTCCCTGCTTCTCCCACCCCGTCTCCAGCGCAGTCCCTCCCCCTAGGCCTGGCACACACGTCTGGGGTCCTGCTGAAAATTAAATTTATTCAAGAAGACCCCAGCCAGGCGGAATTCCTGGGTGCCTCAAGCACAGCCCAGGGAGCATCCCCGCCCAGGAGCACCCCGAAATCTCCCCGCAGGATGTGTCCCCATTATGTCCCAGCGTCCCCACATGCTCTGAGCCCGGCCAGGACCCCCGAAACCCCCTCCCCATGCGGCTGCAGCATCCTCCAGCAGCCCCATCCCCGCAGCAGCGTCCGACACCGCCGGGCGAGGCACAGACGGGAACACTGGCAGCCTCATCCCTGCATTTTTCCCTGATGCGCTGGCCAGCCCTGCGCCATTCCCCCTTGGAACAGCAGCGGGGAGCTCCCAGCGGTGGGGTCCAGCCCCCCTGGGCCGCTCTGCCCCCCGTGCCCAGCCGCGGGCAGCATCCTCGGCACCGGCAGAGCCTCGTGGCTCAGCGCACACGAACTTCCCGGCCCTTTCGCCAGCTTTTTGAGAGGCCAGATGTTTTTTAAACTGAAAATGGAGTTTCCCCTCGCTCGGCGGGTGTCGGCTGCCCCCGGGACTCACCTGCGGAGCGCTCACCTGCCGGGGCATCCGCGGCTGCCGGCTCCGCTGGGCCGGGGAGGGGAGAGGAGCGAGAGGAGGATCCGGGAAGGGGCGGCCGGTCCCTGCCCTCCCGGGGAAGGCGCCTGCGGGGCCCCGCTCCGTGACATCAGCAGAAAGGGGCCGAGATCCCGCGATCCCGAGGAGCCTCGGGCGGGCGCTGGGATCTCCGTGGATTTTCCCTCGATTCCGGGGCTCTGCCCCTGTCCCCGGCTCGGGATGCGATGAGGAAGGGGAACAAGGTTCTCCTCCTCTGCTGGAGCTTGGGGTTGACTTTTGGCTTCTCCTCTGGCTCAGAATTCCTTCGTTTCCTTTCTGCCACCTCTCCGGGACCCTTTATCTGCGTCCCCGCTGGGGAATTACTGAGGGATGAGGATAAAAGCCGGGCGGGGCTGTGGGCAGCATCCCTGGAGCCATCCCGGACTTTGCTCTGATGTGGTGGGGTGGGATAAGCGGATTTGGGAGCTGGGGAGGGGTGAGGAGGGGCTGGGATCCCTCTGAGGATCCTTTTCCAGGCAGGAGAGGAGCAGGGTGGGAATCAGGAGCGATTCCAGCCACATCCCTGCAGCCCCCAGGGGTCCCAGCCAACACCCACAGGCAGCACGGACACCCCAGAAACAGCCCAGAAACACCCCAAAAAGAGGGGCCAGAGCTGCTGACGTCTGCAGGAGGACGTGTTCAATCAGTAAATGGGATTTTGGGGACCTCAGCTGCCCCCATGGAGCAATCCCAGCAGCAGGCGGGTGCCCAGGGCTCTTTGGAGTGGGAAAACCTGCTTGGCCACGGCTGCAAAGGCAGAGCTCTGCTCCCCAACGTGCAAGGGCAGGTCCTGCACCTTTACCAAGCATTCTGTAGGATCTGGGGTTTGCACTGGGAGTGGGGTGTCCCCCATCTCTGAACCTTCCCCCATCCTAAACCTGCAGCCCCCCAGTTCCTGGTGGTCCCCATGCCCAGATTTCGGGATCCCTCCAAGACTTCTGGCTTTTGCTTTTCCACTTCCAGCATTTTTGTAGACTTTTCTTTCCCCTCACAGACCCTGATGGGATCTCAGGGAGGATCACTGCACTCAGCAGGACAAACCCTCCTCCCCCTCCTCTCCAGATGTAATTTTAGGACCTGTCTGGCCAGAAAAATCTGTTTTCCCCCCCAGAGGGCAGGCGCTGGGAGGAGCTGGGCTGAGGGAGCAGAACCTGAGCCAGTTCTCACCAGTGGGGCAAAAAGCTGAAATTTCCAAAGGAGAGAGAGCAGCTCTCTCCTAATCCCTGTTTTCAGCCCCTTTTCACCATCCTGCTTCACCTTTGCTCTCACAGAGAGAATTTATTGTTCAGCCTCCCTCTGCAACAACTTCTGCCCTCGTTCCTCTCGCGTGTCCCTGGTGGGACAGGGGTTGCTCACCCTGTCAGATGATCAAAGCCTCTCCACGCTGCTGGGCTTTGTGGTCAATCCCAAACTGCAGCTGATGCCCACGGCCACTTCTGCTTTCGGCCAGGGAGGCTGTACCCACCAGGGTGCGTCAGCCTCAGCTCTGGCTTTTGTGTGATTTCACAGGAAAAGGGATTTTCCCAAAGCTCCTGCTCTCCTAATCCGCTCTGGGCTGAGATCCTGCCTGGATGAAGGCAGTGGGAGCAGTGGTGGGGAGGAGGTGATGGCCAAGGTGTCACTCAGCAGCTCCAGCCACCACAGCTTCAGTCCCGTCCTGGCAGCTCCCCCACATCAGCATTTCCGAGGAAAAGGCGTGGGTTTTGTGGCCTGTGACTGTGAGGAAGGTGATGAAACCCAGGCTGGGGCTGACACAGCCAGGGAAAGGCTGAGGGGAACAAGGAGAGGACGGGCTGTGCCCTGCAGGGCTGGGGGAGTGAGGGAAAGGGAAGGAAGCAAAGGGCATCCAAGCTCTCCCTGCGCCATTCAGCCTCCTTGGGGGACAGCAGGATCGCTCTTTATTGGGGTGCTCACATTTGTTTGAGCAACTTCCCCCCCAAACCTGTCAAGAACGCTCTGAGATCCCAAAAATACAACACCAGAGCAGTCCTGGGCAACTCCAGGCCAGGCCAGCTCTCAGTGCCAGCTGCCATCTGGGGACACTTGAGTGGCCCCTGTCATGCTGGATGCTCCCTCCAGCCCCCGGGCTCGTGCTCAGCAGCACCTTGGTGTGCTAAGGGTTAAGGTGGAAGAGGGACAGGAGACCTTTGTCCAGCTGCCCCAGCACCTTATCTGGGGCTGCAGCAGGGGTGAAGTCAACACAGGAAACGTCACAGAGCCCACACTGGTCAGCGGCACAATCAGTGCCTCTGGGTAAGGCAGATATCTCCTTTTATTGCAAACCACGAGGCTCAGCTGCAAAGTTTACAACCAGATCTGAATATTCCAGAGCTCCCAGACCCAGCCCTGGAGGCTGCTCTGCTCTGGGAAGGATGGAGCAGCCACCAAGCCTGGCCTGGGACATGGACACTCCAGCACCCCGGCCTTGGCACTTCTGGCCTCGCTTCAGGGTCAGTGAGGAAAACAGAGCAAAGGCTGGGATAAAAATAACCTTTTTTTCTGTGCTTCCCTTTCTGGCTGCCTCGGGGTGCATCCCTCGTGAGCCACAGCTGCTCGTGCAGTGTCACACTCCCGTCAGCAAGGCACGGGTGTCACTGTGACCCCCCGGGGACCCCCAGAGCCAGGAGCCCCTCTGCAGCCCCCCAGGCTTTGAGCCAGCCCAGCCCAGCCCAGGGCTCAGCAGCTGCTTTGCCCTTCCAGGACCCACCAAGCACATTGTTGTCGTGCTAAACTCCCCAGGGGAATCAAAGCGAAATTCATTGGAAATCACCGCTTGCTCCAGGAGTTTTGTGGCACAGAAAGAGCCCCTGGGGCTTTCCAGTCCCCGTTACCTTCTTGTTTACCAGCACCAGCTGAGGAAAGGTGCATCCCCAGTGCTCCCCCGGCCCCTGCCCTGCCCACAGGCCCCTGGGATGCTCAGGGATGGCCACAGCCACCTCCAGGGATTTCTGCTCCACCTGAGCAAAGCATCCTCTTCTTTCTGCCCCTGTGGGAATCCCAGGGAAGCTCCGGCCACGCTGGGAGTGCAGCCCTGGCAGTGCCATGGGTCACCCAGGGAGGAGGGCAGGACATGGGCAAGGAGGATTTAACCCCCAGCGCAGCCCTTTGAGATGTGCAGGATTTCTGCTGCCAACAGAAGCATGAGAAGTTTGGGCTTATTAAATTTTTTATTGGCTCAGGATTTAAAAACAGAGAATGTGCAGAGCAGATCACAGAGCTGCTCGAGACATTTCTATATCACAGTGTCCTGTTGTGGACTGAACTTCTGCTGGGCTCTTCAGCTGCACCCCTGGGAGTCTTCATCCCCCTGGAGACACTGAGGAGGACGTGGTGACATCCACTGACCTGCCAAGGTCCGTTCCTCTCCTGCCCCATGGATGTCACAGCCCTAAGGGACGGCAGGGGCCAACCCCACCCTGTTATTCCCACGGTCAAAGACAGCGTAGAACTGACGGATGAAAACATCACCCAAAATCCAGAGGGGTCCTGTGGGAGGGGGGATGTCTGTCCCCTGGAAGCCGCTGGTGCAGAAGGCCATGCCATCGCTGTACTCCTGGGGGAGGAGAAGAGGAAAGCTGGGGGTGAAGCCGTGAGCCTCGTGCACGTGGGAACACCCAGGAACGGTGGCGAAGCAGAAACCAGCAGGGTTTGTCACCCTTGGGGACACACTGCCTGCTCCCAGCGTGGGGCTGGGCCACCTTTGCCACTGGAGCAGCTGGGATTTGGGGTTGAGGGAGCCACAGCCATACCATGAGGGTGTAAGCCTGGGCACTGAGCGTGTAGGGCAGCCCGTTGATGGTGAAGGTCAGGTCAGGCATCACGTTGAGGTTGCTGCACTCCACGGCGTACTGGAACACATCCGGGGGCTCAAGGGCTGCCCAGGGGGTCCCTTCCAGCAGAGAAGGGTCCCCAGGGCTTTGTCCCCTCCTGTCCCCACCCTGGCTCTCACCTCTCCATCCACAGACACAGCCCCAATAAGGTTTTGCAGTTTTTTGATCTCCTTGGTGGGGCCCGTGATGAGCGACGTCCCGGTGTCCACGATGGCCTGGCAGCCGTTGGCACAGAAAGTCACCGTCCCACCCAGCTGGATGCTGGAAGAGGGGAGAAGGAGCAGCAGGGATTTATCCTGCTCTGCCAGCCCAGCCCTGCCCTCCCTGCCTGCCCAGCCCCACTCACTTGTCCAGCTGGATCTGCCAGTACCCCTGCTGGGTGACTGGCACCCAGTTCAGGGTCCCTGTGAAGCGGGAGGTGTCAAAGCCCCCAAAAAGCAGCTCTCCTCCCTGGGGGGACTCGGGGTTCCTGCAGGGAGGAGGAGGAGGAGGACACATGAGGGGTTTTTATCCATTTAGCATGGATTTACCCCACCTTTCTCCCCACAAATGATCTAAGGCCAGAAGTCTGCGATGCTCAATCTGGTACCAAACCCCCTTCATTATCTCAGTACAATATCTGTATTTTCACATCTCCTCCTGCTCCCTAAAGCAATTCCAGACTCCAAGCACCATCCCAGAGCAAAGCCATGTCCGTACGAGCTCATGTAGACGGAGAAAATGGGCAGCTCCACCAGATTTTGGGCCATCAAGTTGTCGAAGAAAGGGGTGACCCCATCCACGGCCAGGGAGGGATAAGCCAGCCCCAGGATCCCATCGAACTCAGCATCCAGGAAGGCTTTTCCCGGCTCACTGGTGCTCTCTGCAAACTGCTGGTTGCTCACGGTCAGACCCTCGACCTGCAGGGAGGAGGGGGTTCCATGGGGGTGCTGAGCCCGTGGGCAAGTCCCAGGCTCTTTGCCCAGAGCAGGGGAACCCAAAGGTCACTCACGGATACTTGGTCGGATCCGATGATCCCCGTCAGGCTCCCGGTGCCGTACTGGATGGAGAAGGGGGTCCCTATCACCTGGTAGGTGCTGGACTGGGTTGGCTGGAACCTGTTGTGCTCAGCTGGGGAAGGAGATGGGATCTGTCACCAGAAATGTCAATTTTTTGCATGGCC